CTCTGAACAGCCAAAGCAATCTTGAGAAAGAACAAAGCTGGGAGCATCACACATCCTGATTTCAAACCATAGTACAAGCTATAGTAATCAGAACAGATAGTATTGGCATAAAAACAGACACATGGTTCAATGGAACAGAATAGAGAGCCCAGAAACAAACATAAGCATATACACTCAACTAATTTTCAACAAAGATGCCAAGAGTATACGGTGGGGAAAGGACAGTCTCTTCAATAAATGGTTTTGGAAAAACAATATACAACTGCAAAAGAATGAAACCAGGCCCCTATCTTACACCACACACAAACATCAGTTCAGAATGAATTAAGGACCTGAACTTAAGACCTGAAACTATAAAAATTCTAGAAGAAAGCATAGGGAAAATGTTCCTTGACATTGGTCTTGGCAATGAGTTTTTGGATTTGACACCAAAAACAAAGGCAACAACAGCAAAAATAAACAAGTGGGACTACATCAAACTAAAAAGCTTCCACACAACAAAAGATACCATCAGCAAAATGAAAAGGCCACCTTTGGAATGGGAGTAAATATTTGCAAATCATATACTGATAAGGGGTTAATGTACAAAATATATATGGCACTCATACAACTCAATAGCAAAAAAGAAAACAAAAACGAACAAAAAAACTAAGAATATGATTTTTAAAATGGGTAAAGGACCTGAATAGACATTTTTGCAAAGAAAACATACAAATGTCTAACAGGTTTATGAAAAGGTGCTCAACGTCACTAATGATCAGGGAAAGGCAAATCAAATGAGATACCACATCTATTATGATGTCTATATCCAAAAAGCAAGATATAACAAATGCTGGCAAGGATGTAAAAAGGGAACCCTAGTGCACCACTGATAGGAATGTAAACTGGTACAGGCAGTTGGAAAAACATATGGTGGTTCCTCACGAAGTTAACAATAGAGATACCATGTGATCCAGCAATCCCACTTCTGGATATACATCCAGTGGAAACAGAATCAGTTTCTTAGAGTTATCTGTACTCCCATGTTCACTGAAGCATTATTCACAATAGCCAACTATGAAAACAACCTAAGTGTCCACAGAAGGACGAATGGATAAAGAAAATATGAAATAAACATGTATGTCTCACAAATATTATTCGGCCACCAAAAAAAAAAAAAAAAAAAAAAAGGAAATCCTGCCGTTTGCAACAACATGAGTAAAACTGGAGGGCGTTTTGCTTAGTGAAATAAGCCATACAAGGAAAGACAAATACTTCATGGTATTACTTATATATGGTATCTTACAAAAAAAAAAAGTTAAATTTACAGAAAGATATGGTGATTGCCAGAGGTTAGGGGAAATGAGAAGAGGTTGGCAAAAGGGTACAGACTTTCAGTTATAACACAGATAAGGTCTGAGGATCTAATGTATAACATGGTGACTATAGTTGATAATACTGTAAATTTGCTAAGAGAGCTGAACTTGTGTTCTCACACAAATAAAAGGGGGGCTGGGTAAATATGTGAGGCAATTTATGTGTTAATTAACTTGATTGTGGGAATCCTTTAACAATGTATATGTATATCAAATCATCACATCATACACCTTAAATATATTACAGTTTTATCAATTATACTTCAATAAAGCTGAAAAAAAAAGAGAAAATGTGTTGAAATTGGTTAAGCCTTCTTCAGCCTGGGTCTATGAATGACTGCAGAGAGGGGATAAATGGAATAGTATTCAGCAGTATAAAGGAATGGGCAAGATTGTTACAGAGTCCCATGGAGTCATCTCCAGTTATACGTCTAAGTGAAAAACAGCAAGATGCAGAACAATGTGTATAGTGTGCTATCTAGTGCCTAAGGAAGTGCAGAAGGCTTTCTAACTGAAAACTAATTTTTTTAAATAGTTACCTATTTGGAGTGTAACAGAGATGAGGAGATAGGAAAGAAGCTAGACTTCTTTAAATATACTTTGTTTTGAAGTTTTGACTCTGGTACCATGAAAATTTATTACATAATAACAGACAAAATTAAATCAAAAGAACTATCAATCTGTAAAAATCAAATGCAAAATAAAGCAAAGACACTTGTTTTTATAGTGGATAGTTTAATAGTAAAGTTGTTTCAAATGATGCTAAGACATGGTAATTTTATTTTTTGTCTCCATTAGGATATCTTAAATAAATAAAGATTTATTTAAGATTAAAAAATAAATAAAATAAAAAATAAAAAATAAAATAAAAAAATAAAAAATAAAATAAAAAATAATAAATAAATAAATAAATAAAAAATAAAATAAAAAATAAAATAAATAAAGATTTATCTAAGATTTCTCTTAAATAAATAAGAGAAATCTTAAATTTTTTTTTTAATAATTATGTTGTTAGAATAGCATATGGTTAGTTTGAAACTATTATGCACAGAGATGCACACAAATAATTGTTAATTTTTTGTTAGGGACCAAAATTTTCAGCATTAGAAAAAAGAAATAAACATATACAAAATTAGAATTGGAAAGGTCAGCATGAACTCACTGAAATTTATTTTAAAAGAATCTATTCTGGTGGTTTTAAGCATAAAGGCATTTATGAGAGAGTATCAAAGTATTACAAGGTCTGCAGAAGGAGATTCAGAGCTAAGCGTCCAGAAATGATGCCTGCATCAGATATTTTTCTAGATACCTTAAGAGGGAAAAATCTTAATCTGATGTTGCAACTAATGGTTTGCTTCAGTATGACACAAATCTGATGCTTGAATGTACAGTCTTGATCCAGAAATTGCAGTGTTCTATGGGATCTAATCATTGCTATCATATGTTACGATTTGCTTTCTTTCACTGAGTTTACTAAACCTACATAAAGGTTTCCACTGAACATCAAATGTTCCTGATGTGATGCCTACTGAAAGGCTAAACTCAATCTGTTAGCCTGCAAATGTGGGACAGACTCTTTCACTGAGTTGTAATTTTTCTCTTGTGTTTAGGCTTGGATTGTTTGGATCCAATCCTTGCAGGCTGAATGCATTTTTAAAATATAATAGAACACTTATATTGGCAAATTCTTTAAAAAAAGGAGCTGAGAATTTGCAGACCTGCTGCAGCTTACCTTAAAACTTTTTCAAAGCATCATTAAACCAAAGAAGCCATTAAAAAGTACTAAACTGGGCATATGTATAACTGATTCACTTTGTTATAAAGCAGAAACTAACACACCACTGTAAAGCAATTATCCTCCAATAAAGATGTTAAAAAAAAAAAAAGAAATGAAGCACTTACACTTGATCTTGGTATGATCTCCTCTTTAGGAAGAGCTCTACCAGGAGCTTTAGGTTGCATTCCTGGCCCTACTGATGTGAAATCCAGTGAGATGAACTACTTTTCAGAGCCTGTCTAGGCCTCCTGAAAATGAAAATCAATGTGTGTGATGAAAAGATGAGCATGACCTCTGGGGATTTTAAGCTTCATGATGATTTAATAGCAAATCATTGTAAATTCAGCAGACTTGACTTTCCCAATAAACATTTACTTTAAAGGAGAAAAAAAAAGTACTAAATTGGGAATATAGGGTCAACAATAAGGGGATAAGAAAGATCTGGAAAGGAAGGCCAAGTTAAAGAGTCAATGAAGCACCATCTGGAGAAATGGTTTAAGACGTGTTCCTGTTGAAGCTTACTTATGTGTGCCTACTTGGCAAAAAGTGTGGATCAGTCATTCAAGTCTAAACATCAAGGGACAGAATAAAAAACACAATCATGTAAAATACTGATCCTATCCCACTCTCCACTGTCACTTTCACCTGACAGAAATCTTCTGTCAGCTCTGCAGCATTAACAAGTAGGAGCTGGAGCTTCATGACTACTCTTCTTTGCCTATTCCGTTCCAGCTGGAACAGGATATCAACCTAGCCATGTTATAAACATTGATAAATGGCTGCTGTTTTCCCCGTGGGCTTAGAATGAAAGATCTGGTTTTCATGGAGTTAACAAGAGCTAGTGGGGAGGGAGGGGAGCGAAGAGCAGAAGAATGGTGGAAGAGAATGAGTCCACATAGTTTTATGTGGTTGGAAATGGAAGATTCAGGGACTTAATGACTTCTGTGACCCTGAATACCTCTATTATTCTTTCAATTTTCAGAAAGGATAAATTGTACTTCTACATGGAAACGATACATCTACTGGTTCTGAGTTGTCATTTATCTTACGCTACTCTTCAGTCTCTATACCAGTATTTTAGAAGTTGTCTTGAGTGAGCAGTTAGCGGTTCCTATAGGTGCTGTCTAGTTGCTGGGTTGGTACTGGTAGCAAAGTAGCAAAAGAAATTCTAGTTGGGGATACACAATTGAGTTTTATACAGTTTTATATATGTGGATATGTGTGTGTGTGTTTGCTTAAATAAGTGTGTAATTTCTAACACTTGTACCTGAAATCGTCCTAATACATAGGAAATCCACTGCCTGAGATTGTGATCCTTTAAGTTAAAGCATGTTATAAATACGGAGACTTTGTGCCCAAACTGGCTTATGTAAGATCACCTTGCCCTAATATTAAAGTTAATGTTACGGAATTAAATGGGTAAGATTCCTGGCTAGTAGCCCAGATCACAGAGCAGACTAACCCGAGTTTTAATGCAAGCTCCTCGGGCAAGTTCCAGAATTTTACTTAGCTTCCTTTCTTCATTTTAAAGTGAAAACAGTATCGGTAAGGCTGTTCGTATAAGCTGTACAAAATAACTGCATGGCATATATGTAAATAAATAACCCGTTCCCGACCTACCAAGAGTTAAAACGCTAAACGCTGAACACCATTTTAAGCAGCAGACAGGAAGGGGCGGAGCGCCAGCCGCAGCCCCCGCCTCACCGCTGTTAGGGAAGCAGTCGCGGCTACGTCAGGCCCGAGTGTAAGCCCAGCTGCCGCTTAGCCCCTGGCCCCTCCCGGTCACCGCCGTCAGTCGGGGGGTCCGCGGGGTCTACGGTCACCCTGCGCTCCAGGCACCGCACCGGGCAAGCAGCGACACCGCGTCCATGGCCACCGCGGCGGCTCCGTCATCCTTGGCTCTCAAGGCCTCGAGCCTGGCCGCGGCCCCCGGCTCGTACGGGGTCTTCTGCAAGGGGCTCTCCCGCACCCTCCTCGCCTTCTTCGAGCTGGCCTGGCAACTGCGCATGAACTTCCCGTACTTCTACATCGCGGGCTCCGTGGTTCTCAACATCCGCTTGCAGGTACACTTTTAGAGCTCTGAGGAAGCCGCCGGAATCCCGGGCCTGCATTATGGCCGACTCCCAGGAGGCCCCACGGCGCCGCGGAGCTGGGGGCGAGGAGTCCCGCTGTCTCGCGAGATTGCCTGGGCTCCCTCCGCGGCTGTGCTCTTCGCTCTCAGCCGAGCTCCTGTACTGTCACTGAGACCTTGCCGAGATTAGGAAGAGGAAATACGCGATTCCGGGAGCCGAGAAAGAACTTCAATTAAGACCCACGACAATATTTAAGAAGCTGTGCATCCTTAAAACAAAAACGGGACGGACAGGCTGTATTACAAAAAGGGAAAGGTACTAAAATTTTCAGGACAAAAATGTACAAGCAGCTCATGGTCCATATTAATAAATAAGTAAATTTCGGGAGTATGAGACTGGAATATAAGCAGGACGCTGAATGAGTAAGAAGCTGGAGATCTTAAGGATATGCTGTGGAGGACGTATATTTCTTCATCCCACAAGAAAAAACAATGACGATAAGAAGCTTTCAGTGAAAAAAACTGTACAGGAAACACATCCTTCAAATACCAAACAATGTAAAATGCTGCAGGATTTTGAACAGAGGGAGTGTAAGAAAGTGGACTCTATTTCAGTGTCCCTATGAGTAACATGCAGTTCAAAGTCTTGGAGCCAAAGAGAAGGAAATCCAGTCATAGCACAAAGCTTGGCGACTTATTGAATAACATTTAAATAATCATAATAATGTAAATGCTGTTTATGGTTTTCATCTTTTTAAGAGAATACTTACAAAGTTTGAATGCACATGTTATCAGCCTTGATGGCGTAAAAGTGAGAGTACCTGTAATGGTAATGGTGTCTTTTAAAGTGGGAAGCTGAGAGGAAAATTCTGTTGTCGATGGGGGAAGAGGGCATTTTATTATTTAAAGAGTAGCCATAAAGTTGCTTAAATGTAACTATATGAAAGAGAGAAGAGGAGGGGAGAACAGCATGAGGTCAACAAGAAATTCCTAGAGGTTAGAGTTAGGGTCGAATGTCTCAGATTACCTGATGTATTTGGAGTCAAGAGATTTTTAGATTTCAGAGAGTCTGGAGACGAATTAGTGGTCTACAAAATTTTTTCTAATTAAGGAAGCAAAGCTGAGGCAGTTATGAGCCCCGGGAAAAATTTAAAAAATTTCAAGAACTACACTGCATAACTCCACTGTGAAAAATATTACTACTCATCATATAAAGCCAGTTATAATTATATAAACACTGAATACAGGTAACAAATTATTAGGTAACATTGGAAGGACTGGAGAAGAGAGAGATGTATATGTAATGGGGGAGAATCAATCAAGATCTGATATAGAAAAGTTGATTTAAAAAAAGTATAACTTGTCAGAGTACAATAAGAAATAGCTAAGAGTTAAAATTGGTAGTCTCTGGAGAAAGAAAATCAGGGATAGACAGAGAAAGGTGGAGGACTGCTGTTTTTCACTACCAGTCTAACAGTAATGGTGATTTTTCTTAGCCATGTGTGTGTGTGTGAAGATATATAGATATAGATGTATGGATATATCAGGCAGACCTCTGTTAAAATACAAACTAATTTTGTGGTCCAGGTAAGCCCATTAATCTGCCTAAACCCCGGTTTTCTCAATTCTATTAAATGAGAGTAAAAATACCCACCTTGAAAGATCAGTCAAGAATTAAAAATAAGCCTGACTTAGTGCTTGATACATACTGTACACAGTAAAGAGTATTTGTTATAACAGAATATTTCATTAACTTGTGAATAAAACTTAAAACTCTCATATGGGGCTTCCCTGGTGGTGCAGTGGTTGAGAGTCCGCCTGCCGATGCAGGGGACGCGGGTTCGTGCCCCGGTCTGGGAGGATCCCACGTGCCGCGGAGCTGCTGGGACCGTGAGCCATGACCGCTGGGCCTGCGTGTCCGGAGCCTGTGCTCCTCAATGGGAGAGGCCACAACAGTGAGAGGCCGCGTACCGCAAAAAAACAAACAAAAAAAACAACTCTCATATGGAGTGCCTGCTTTTCTATTGGAGGGTTTTAGTACTGAAGGAGGTTTGTAGGTTACTGACAATGGGGGTGT